CCACCCACACCCCCGAAAAAGATCTTGGCAAAAGAGACAATGGGCTTGTTTTCAAAATAAGAATCTCATTGCTTAATTTACATGCCAGAAAAAGAAAGATAAAGAGGGAGGCACAAAATAGCAAAGGGGAGGAAATGCATTGAACAGAAATAGAGGAAGAAAAGGAAGAGAGGGATTATTTAAAAATTGATTTCACATGAAAATACTTTGTTTCATGAAAAAATAATGTGAGGCTCTTAACTAGAAAGCTCTAGGTAGACTTGAGACCCCCGGACCCCCTGAGTTGTTATACAAAAGGGTGGTCCATGTGTTTTTCTCAGGAAAAGGTCCAAATCCTTTAGCCAGTTCTCAAAGCAATCTATGACAAAAGCTAAGAATCACTTGGATGTAGATGCCAAGTTTCAGCTTGGGAAACAAACTTATTTCTGAGCCATTTCAGATAAGTTGTCAAACAAAACAAAATTTTAAAAAATAAACACAATTTTGGGGAGGAACTCAAGATCCTCTTCTGCTAACGCTGCACCCTTTGTCCTGTTCAACAGGATCACAGACAGATCAAAGAAAGCTGGCATCAGGTGTGGCTTCTTCTAGAGCTATCCTGGTCATCTCTCCTTATTTTTTTTTTTTTTTAATTTTTATTGTTGGTTGTTCAAAACATTACATAGTTCTTGATGTCTCTCCTTATAACCACTGTTTCAGGTGACAGGAGTGGACAGGAGCTTCCTTTTCAGCCCACAAGTCCATGCTTGTTTCTATACCAGAGTTGAAGATATTGATCTTAAAGTCTAAGGACAAGGGAACGTGCCACCATGTGGGGTATCCTTTGGGGAAAAAGCAGCCAGCACAGAGCCAGCAGTCCTGGGTTTTAGTACAGTTGGGAAACCTTGTCACCTGGTCTCTTTTGAACCCTTTCGCCTCTGGAAAGCAATGGGGCTGGGTGGAGAGGTAACCCATGAGGTCCCTCCAAGGAGTTGGTGACAGGAAATCAGGCTGAAGTGAGTCCCTAAGCTCTGGTTGAGAGCTCTGCCTTATCCCATTCCCACTCCATACAATGGTGGGCAGCATTTCTAGGAATGCTGAATGAAGTGTTGGAAACTGTGGTCAGTCACACTCACAAACCTAATCCCAGGGATCATACCCTGGCTCACATTCCCTTGCAACTCTCCCAAGACCGTGGCTCCTTGAGACAGGCTCAATGCAGCTGGGCCTCATTCTTCCATCTCCCAAGTGGATGAATGAAGCTCTCCTCACCAATCTCTAAGCCAAATCTTCCCTTGGAAACTCAAAACCTGGCTGCATGAGGGTTGCACCATCAGATGGCATTGTTTTTTTCCAACTCACTCTTTGAAAGTCTCAGAGCTACAGAACAGCTGGGCTCTGAAACATTAAGTCAGACTCCACCATCACAACTAATAAGCACTGTTTACTGAGCATCCGTATTTACTGCAACAAACTGTGCTGCAAGTTTTCCACTCATTCCCTCCTGGAGCCCTTCCATCAGCTTCCTTTAAGGGGCACTGAGATCCATGGAGGTTAAATAACCAAGCAGAAACAGGCTCAGACTCCCAAGCTCAAGTATCCTGACACCTTCTTAGTTGCACAACATCAGGCTTCCCTCTCCTCTCTCTGTAACCAAAGAAATACAAAGAGAGCCAAGTTCAGGCCAAAAGACCAATTAGCCATCAGTTAAAGCCAAGAGGCAACCTGTTTTATGCTTTTACAGAAATCAATACAAGTAAATTCTGCTTCACACAGTATGAGGTTTTACTCACACAGACCCGCAACACAAACTTACATGCATGGTGTGTGTGTGTGCACACACACAAACACAAACACACAAAATGCACACAAGGTCAGATACATGGTTAAACAAAGAACTGTGTACCAGACACTGTGGCACATAATACACACCACTTTAAAGACCTAAATATGAACTCAAGGGTGATCACAACTCACTAACACATCCAACTACTGAACAAATACAAAAACAGTTAGAAGAGCCAAAAACTCTTTTTTTGATCATTTTTGAATCAAATCAAATTGTTCACATTATTTTGGATAAAATGTATTTTCTCCAGGCTGAGAGGCCATGCTCTTGGGCCAAATGTTTGCCAGGGATTTTCTCAGAGGGGAGTAAGATTGCTGTTAGGACTTGAAGGGATTCAACTACATCACCATAGCAGACAAGGAGACTTTAATATCTATGATTCAAGCTCATTGGAGAGGTCCCTTAGGTCAAAAACTTAAAAAAAAAAAAGAATACTTTTCAAGGGAGCTTCCACACCCACTGTCTCTTAAAATACACTGTTTGGAACACAGTGGGCTCAAACTTAGACTAGGAAATGTGGGAGGATGGATAGTGTTGTGCATAATTCTGTGGTTTGTTTCAAGTCATTAAAGATCCTTGCTCAACATATAAAGTCAATACGAAAATAATACTTCCGTTCATTTTATAGGCTCGGCAAAAGGCTTCCAAGCATGCTATCCCACTAGATTCTCCTAATGGCCCTCTTGGAGGCCGGTGTCAATCTTACTGGGCAGAGAAGGATCCACAAGATGGAATGACTTGCCCAAGGTCACCCAGTGGGTAAGCAGTGAAGCCAGGATGCAAATTGTCCTTCTTAGGATTCCTAGTCCATTGCATTTTGCATTACATTAAGCACTGACTTATGAGACACTATACTTAGATGATCTCACTCCCATATATTAACAATTTTAGAAGGCGGCAAGCCAAGGAATGGAGAAGTCATACAGCAATTACACACGAGAACAGTCAGTGGGACCGGATCTAGAAGGGGAACTGCCTAGCTTTGCCCCTCTTTCATGGGCACCCATGACTAAAAGGCTCATATCCCCATCAGCCAGCTGGGTATGGGGGCAAGCAGAGGTCTGGCTGTCCCCAAGTTAGAACCATAGAGATAAGGACAGCCGGATACCCCTCTTAGATCTTACACAGAGCAGGTGCTAACTTAGCATTGCTCCAGGTAAAAGTGAAAGGCGAAGGTGACATCCCAGCTTTAACAGTCTATGTCACTGTGCCCTTCCCTAATCCTAAGGCCAGGGATGCCAATCTGACAAAGCCTTCAAGATTGCCCTTCAGTACCTGTCAGGGGACCTTTTAATAGTTTTCCCATCTCCATGACGTCTCGGGAGTAACCCTTACAGGGTAGGCAAAGGGACCACGGGGGCTTATCCTGTCGATTCTGTCATTATAGTCCCAATTCAGAAAAGAGCTGGGTTAAAATTCAGGCAGTGCCTCCAGATATAAGCTTCATATTCAGTTGGGGTTTTTTTAATTTTTTTTTTAGTTGTCAATGGACCTTTATTTTATTTATTTATATACGTGGTACTGAGAATCAACCCAGTGCCTCACACATGCTAGGCAAGCGCTCCCCCACTGCGCCACAAACCCAGCACCCCCATGAGGAGTTTTTTGAACCTCAGGTTCACCCTTTTTATCAACTTCATTTCTTAGAAGATTTGGATACAAACACCAAACTACCCTGGGTCTATCAGGCCACACAGCACCGCTAACAATGACGGAAAGTACAAATCTAGCAAGTTCCCCCTGCCTGCTTTCCTGAATACCAGTCACTACACTTTACAATCGATCTTGTTCCATTTTCCCTGAAAGTCATTTTTACCCTCCTCCTTCTTCTTCTCACAGTGCTGGAGATCAAATCCAGGGCCACATGCATGCTAGGCAAACGCTTTACCACTGGGCTCCACTCCAAACCCTGGCATCCCCACTTTGATAGATGAAGAAACAAGACAGTGAGTACCTGGCCCAAAGTTACCCAAGTAAGATGAGGTAAAGCCAGGAATGTGGTTTGGACACCATCAGCAACACTCGTCCACATGAAGACATGGTCTCGGATCAAGTTCATTTAGCTCCCCCAGGCCCCTCACCATTTTCCCATTCTATTTAGACCCCTGTGCCAACAGACTTGTAGCTCTGAAAGCCTAGTGCCACCCCTACTGTGCATGGCAGGTGCTGACTGCAGTGGTCTCTGCTGCCCACTCAATGACCAACCTGAAGCACAATTGATATGTCACTTCCCCTAACCTCAACATAATCCAAAATTCCCTGAACTCCCCCACAAGGAAAAATAGTACTAGAAAGTGACCAAAATGTACAGGATTGCTTGATATTATCTAATATTAAGTAACATTGCCAACTAAGCTAGCAGGTCCTCCTTTTATCAGTACACTTCTTGAATCTTTTAATAATGTGTCCACACCCACTGTCTATGTATTAGACCCCAAAGCAGGGCAGTTGAGCATCCTTATCCCATTTTTCAGAAAAACAACTAGAAGTCAGGGTTTGCCCAAGGTCAAACAAGTTGGCTGCAAAGGAGGATCTGGAACCCACCCATGTCATTCCTTCCGCTACACCTCCCTCCAGAGATGGGGCTGGCCAGCATCGCAAGGAACAGGAAATTGAAATGGCTCCTGGTAAGACAGCAAGCCTGCCAACCCCAGAGAGAAGTTGTCAAGTGACCAGAGCCCGCCCTGAATTAAAGATCCCTCTTCAGATGAGCTGCCTTCAAACAAATTCCCACCTGCTGCACTGAAGACGTAAGCTCTAAGTGCCTACAAAGCACCATGCCTATTGTCCACAGAAAGGATCAAGCTAAAAGACAGCTCAGATCAGTGGGATGCTGCTGAAAAAGTGAGTTGAGAGGCAGTTTCCCAGTTTGAACTTGTCAGCTTCATTCTCATTCCTAACACATCACACACACACACACCAACACACGCAGGCACCCACACACAGGCACATGCACACACACAGAAGCATACATATACACACTTTCCATGATCTCCATCCCTTATCCACAGAGCTACAGAAAGGTGAAGCGGAAGCCACTCTAGGACAGTAGGCACCAAGAAAACAGGGGGAAGCCCAATTTAAAAGGTGGGAAATTTCTAAGAGCAAAATCATGCACTTCAAGAGTCATGCACGGGTTCCCAAATATTGAAACAGATTTCAATCGCTTTACCTGAGTTGTTTTGGCTCTTCTGCCTTGCATGCTGTTGCTATGGTTAATTTGTGGGTTGGTGGCACCTTCCGAAAGACAGTGAGATTTCCTACAGGGAAGTGTGTTATAATTACTGTACGGAGCAGTCTCTTCGGCAGCAGCTGGTGGCATCTTATGGTTTACGAGATCAGGAATATCAGACACCAAATTCCGACAATAGCCTGCAAATTTGCTCCTAGGTCCCCCATTTGCCGTCACCCCAGAGTTTTTCTGAGCATACAAGTCATCCAGGGAATTGGCACGCTGACAGGTGCTGAGCTGCCGGGGACTCGCCTGGGTTTCCATCCCCCGAGCCTCCTCGCAGTCCTTCTCTTCCGCGGAACCCAAGATTTCTTCGTTGCTTGTTAAATGTTCTTGGCTCAGATCAGAGAGTGAGAATTCCAGGCTGTCCTCCCGCCAGATGTCTGCAGATTTGGAGCGTTTCTTCTTAAAGCTCACAGTCTCCATGAAAGTGGGCCCGTTGGATGTATAGGGATGCTGCCTCCTGTCTCCCTCAGCCAAGTACGTAGCGTCATCCCCGTAAAGCCTGCTCTCCTCCGAGTCTGGCATGCTTTGCACGGAGGCTGCGGTGAGGACGATGCTGCTGTCTACGCTGGGTGTGACAGAAGAGTCGGTGTAAGACACGGGTCTCAAGCCCATATCTACTCGGTCCACCCAAATGGGGCTCCCGAAGTCCTCTAGGGTGCCTTCCTGGGAGAAGGGTTCCAAGCCATTTTCGGCCAGGGACTGGGGGATGCTCGGGGTGCTGCTGGATCGGGTGCTCACTTCGGAGTTCCTGTGGATCACCTTTCCCGAGGAGGCGTGCCTGGTCCGCCGCGTCTTGTGCGACAGGCGCAGCGAGCGCGACGTGTGCTTGCGCCCCAAGCTGGCATGCTTTTCTCCGTAAAAGTCATGGTCTACATTTTGACTTTCTGCGTTTCCCATGGTTTTATGGTCTGCAGCAAAGGGGGAGGGGGAACAGAGGGGATAACTGAGTTACTTTTAGAATGGGTATAGAGTCCGACACAGCACGCAGGGCGAGCAAACACCTTGGCTGGTGGGGGAAGGTAATGAACAACCCAACTTCTTACATGCCCCAGGGCAGTTCTGTGGACTTTTACCTGGTTGCAGATGAGAACTAGCATCATCTGCTGAGGTTGTCCCTGGAGATGTGAAAGGTGCCTAAGTAGGAGTGTTAGATTTGTCCCCCGAGGCCAGATGCCCAAGGGCACCCAGAGTGCTTCTTTTATACACCTGGCAACTCCTCTATTCCTAAATCCACGATTATATGCTTAAAGTTCTACTCATATAATAAGTTGAAAACCCTAAAGTTCAAACCAATGTATCTACCCAAGGAGTATTTTTCTGTTTGGAATTAGGTATGTATTCCAAAGCAAACAAACAAAAATTCAGAGGTGTGGGCTGGGGCTGCAGCTCAGCCATAGAGCATTTGCCTAATGTGTGAATCCTTGGGTTCGAGACCCAGCACCACACGAATAAATAAAATAAAGGTATTATGTGGAGTGGAGGTAGGGATGGGTAAAACAAAATAAAAACCCTGTTCTGCATCAGACTAATGGGTTTAGTTCTGGGAGCACATCCAACCTGCAAACATGAATCTGGTACAGAGTGCCCTGCAAACAGAAATTCCCATTATAAAACCACTAAATATCAGCCAGTCTGTCTTTTGGGTCTATCCAGGTCAACTCAAATCCCTCCTTACTGTTTTCCAAGTCTCTGTTGCTGACCCAATAGCACAATTCTGTTATAAACACCAACAAAGAAGAAAGTCTCCAAAGCTACTTAGCTTCTTCTCCTTGCTCCACAGGTCTGTCCCTCCACAGCAAATACACCCATGATAATATGTGAACACAGTGGGAAGGAAAGAGGGAAGATAGAGGAGGAGGGCATATCTCTGAACTCGTTATTTTAACCAGCTACATGACTGCTCATTTATTTACTAAGCACCTACCATGTTCAAGAAGCCAGAGACAAAGCAGAGACACATTCCTTACTCCCATGAAACTGATAATCAGCCAGGGGAGGTAAAGCAATAAAGAAGAAAGTAAAAGGCACATGAACTTGCGGTGACCACTGCAGAGAGAGCAAAACACACTGGACGATAACATACCTTCATACTGGTTCAGGAATCACTCTGGAATTCCACTACTCGGTCTAAATGCTGCTTAAGGTCTCACAGCACATCTTTACTGAAATAAAATTTATGGCAAGAGGGAGGGAAAACCTCCCCTTACTGTTCCAGTGAGTTCAGAGGTAATTCATAAAGACATCAGATGTTAAGCTATTCCTCTGCTGGAATAGTCCCTACTAGGCCACACATCATAGAATTCTCAGAGGGAATTTTCCAAAAAAGAGAATCTCCCTTTTGGTAGCAGCAAGTACATTTCAAAGCAATATGTTCACGCTTCTCTGGCTAGTATGTTTAAGAAGCAAAGGAAAAAACTCATTATAGAAAAAATGAAAAAAATCAACTGTCCACCTGTGACCATTGATGTTTATCTTAACTCCTAAGACAAGCATGGGCCACATTTGTCTTTTTACAAATCAAGCAAATAAATACACATTTCCATAACACTAAAGGCCATGAGCGATTTCTTAGAGTTCTTGATTTTTCAAATGTATAAATTAAGATGTCTACATATGGCTACGTAACTATGTTTTGCCAATAAATAATAAAAGAATAAATGATGGTCAGAGCCCCATTCTGAGAATCACATTCAAAAGAGGAGGTGGCTCGGGCAGTAGCTCCGTGGTAGTGTATACATGCAAGGCCCTGGGTTCAATCCCCAACTCCGCCACACACATCCCCCAAAGAAAAGAGAAAAAAATAATGGTGAGATAAATTGATTGAAAGAATGGGCAAAACTGTCACCTCAAACTTGCTCAGATTTACCCTCCTCAAGCACACATATCAAAAGTTTGCTAATATAAATTGACAGACATATTTTCAACAACTTTCTGGTTGGGTTCATTTCTGCCAACAGAAAACTAATCAAGTTAAAAGCCTCAGAAGAGGTTTCCTTGGGAAATGGCCCCAACCCTCAAGAATTACAGCACTCCATGCATCACACTGACGGGTCCGTTATATTAATAGCATTTTTAGTAGCAAGAGTCTTTTTAGGCAGCCAAGGTAGGAAGGAAGCCACTTTTATCTTCAGAACTAGAATTTAGAGATGAATGCCAAATCCCCTAAATCCTTACCAAGAGAGATTCTCAGGGGATGACCTAAGTAGAGTGAGCCTTAAGTTTAAAGCCACAAAACTTAAGAAAAATAAGTTTCTAGGGGGCTGCAAAAACACCTCTTAATTTGAAAGCTTTTCCTGAAAGGTTAGGGAAAGGTCCAGTAGGGGACATCCATAGGGGGCTCTGAAATAACATACACATGAAAATATTTTTATAGATTGCTAATGGTCCCAGGTAGTTTTCACATTCCAGGGATAATTGGAGGTAGTGAACAAAATTTTAATGCAAGAAAACTTTTCAGTATTTAAACCTCAAGTTTGACTTCTAGACTTTTCTTTTTCATCTGTGCTGTACCTTCAGGCTTCACTGGCCTACCTCAGGGCCCTTGCTCATGCTCCTCCCTCTGACTGGAACCCTCATCCTGTCCAGCATCTGCCTCGCTCATTCCAAGTTCATCCAACCAAATGTCACCTTGTGAGGAGATCTTTCCTGGCCTGGCCTCTCTAAGGCATCTCCTGCAGAAAACAACCCTTTTTATCCCTCCTCTTCTGTTTTCTTCCTTAGCCTGTATGATAACACACAATATAATTTAGTGACTTGACTTTTTATTTTCTATTCTTCCCCACCAGAACTAAGCTTCAGGAGGGCTAAAAATCTGACTTGTCTTGTTTCCTGCTGCATCTTCAGTGGCTGAAACTCAGCCTGAAAAGTAGTAGGTGCTCAATGAAAAAAAAAACAAAACACCCTGGGTGAATGAATGACAAAATGTACTTCAATGGCCTGACGGGTTCATATTTTGCTCACAGTGTTCCTCACTCTGCCTCCCGTCACCTGAGGGGAAATTAAGGGCTTGCTCCGGTCTGGTTCCACTTAATGCCTGCCTTCAGTTTCTCTCTTCCACCTTCTTCTGGAGCGGCCTTGCAGAAGCTTGAGATCCGGCTAAGGGTTGAGAGGCCACCCCTCCCCAGAGTCAGGGTGGCTAGGGCAGAACTATGAGCCCCAAGATGATCTAAGGAAAATGAGGGGATGGACACATCGGCATGATAAGCAGAGGTGACATCGAAAGTGGCAGGGGGGTCAGAAGGTTGAGAGATCACAGAGAAGTCTTAGGGTCAGAGACCAAGGATTAGAGGGTGAGTGTGTCTCAGCCGAGCTCATCAGCACCAGGATCTCTCTGTTCCAGTGGTGAATTAAACTTCATACTACATATAGTTTTTAAATCCCATCAAATTCAGTACACAGAGAAGGAGCTACAAAGCCCCGTAGGGAACTTTATCAATATGCACAAACATCGATTAGTCAGGGTGTTTCACACGTACACCAGGTAGGAGGTGATTTCTCAGGATGTTTCAGCCTTATGTGGTGAAATGATGGAGAATTATACACACACATCGAAACGATGTCAAATTCCTGACTATGGCATTTACTATAATTATGCAAAATGCAAACACAAGGAGAAAACTGGGTGATGGTTACCCCTTCTGTAAAAAATTTCTTTGAATCTATAACTATTTTGAAATAAAAATTTAAAACAAACCAACCAAGTCTTAATGAACTGCAATATTCTGACCAAATGAAATGTCAGTTTAAAAGTAAGGATTCTTCCTGAAGAAAAAGTACATGGATCACATATGTGCTCCCAAACCCTGTCCTTTCTTTTCGGCTAAAAAGAACTGAAAAAGAAAATTCTCTGGTGCTGTGTGTAAGTCCACACACAGCCCAGACTCATTATTCAGATGTCCAGAACATTCTAATGTAATTCCCATGAATCAAACAATAAGAAATACTTATTTATTGAACACCTTCTAGTGAATTGCTATCAGGAAATATAAAGCAAACATACACTTATGGTCCACAGTGAGTTGATTACCTGAGGATAGAGCTTTTGTCTTAATAAATTAGTGAACGAAAATGAATTGTTAATATCCAGCACCAGGGGTATAGACTAAACTCCCTGGCCTATCTCACCTCCAATAACTACAACTAAAAATGCTAGACAAAATGTAAACAAAAGCAGACAGATCGAGGAAGAGAGTCAAAACTCAAAGAGCCACTCTTACAATGGTAGCTTCCTGTTTTATCCTTCCAATTCCTCACCCAGGCTTGCTCCAAGGGTGGGCACCAGTATAGCTATGGAACAAGAAGCAACACCATCAGGACAAGCCCAGTTGTTCTGCCCAGAAGAACTGAGAAAGATCCTAGCAAGCCAGACACCTGGATGTCAGAGAAAAGAGAACTAAGAAAAAAAAAAAAAAATCCTCTGGTGCTGTGTAAGTCCACACACAGCCCAGACTCATTCTTCAGATGCCCATGCGTGCGACTGACTCGAAGCAAGATGGCAGAGGCCTTGAGAATGAACCGCCCAGTTCTCAGACTAACCCTGATGATGTTAAGAATGGCACAAACCCAGAAAAACACAGCGGAGACTTTGAAACCTGAACCAACATAAAGCTACCAATGGTGAGGCAGAACTTCCGGTCTGAACCCAGGTGGGTAGAATGCCTACAAAAATAAAAACAACGAAATCAATATTCTCCAGGTGGTTTTAACCAGACCTGGAGTCCCATGACATAGTATTTGAAATGTTCACAAAGCATTTCAAAGAACCAAGAAAATTTAATCAATTCCCAAGGATAAAGACAGTAGAAGCCAACTCCAAAGTGGCCCAGATAAAGGAATTATCAACACAGACTTTTAAAGCAGTTGTTATAACTGTGCTCCCTGAATAAAGGTAAACACTCTTGAAATAAATGAAACACTTAACTGCTTGCAATGTCTATGAAGATCATTGTGAATGTCAATGATGACGCATGAGTAGAGAAACAGAACGCATATGAAAAAGAATGGTAACATACAAAGTTTGGGTCATAAGTAGAAGCCTGTATATTAGCCCATAGGCCTTTTCTTAACTTAAGAAAATCATTTGGGAATCTATTAGCCATGATGGAATGTTCCCTCCTACAAAAAAACTTGAACTTGGAAAAGTTTGAGCTATCATTTATATTAGGGAATAAAAAGGTAAACCGTATACGATCCCAGATGTAACATGTGTGCTACATTTTCCAAATCAATCTAATGTTATATTTTCTCAGTACTGCATGAGAAAACATCCCAATAAATAGGAAGCCACCTCACAGGTCAAAGTTGCAGGCACAGAGAACAAAGGAAAATCCTCCAACAAGAGCAGATTGTTGAGGGGGAGAAGCGGGAGGAAAAGAAAAAAAAATAGAATGGAATCCGGAAATAACTGCATCACCTTGAGGACTAAGGAGGTTACAATTAATATTTTTATGGCTTAGAATGTCTAATTCTCTAAAGACACCCGAGGTCCCAGTTGCACCCCTAGCAGTTACAGGAGGATGCTCCACACCACAGCAGAGGAACAGGAGGGGTCCCCATGACCAAAAGCCAGCCTGTGGGTCTTCGGACCAATACTTGCTGTTTTTGAGAGCAAATAATGGAAAAGATGATCTTGCCATTGAGATCCAACATCAGTGGAGCAAAATTTCTCCTATCAACAAGTGAAAACCTACATTTGAGGTGCATTTCCAAGATACGAATCTCAAAGCAGGTTAAATTTTGAATAAGTAAATATTTCCCAAACATACACATGCAATGAATCTGTGAAAAAAGTTTTAAAGTGACTATTCTGGATAAAGTGCTTTTGGGTCATTTCAATTTTCACAATACTTTCTTTTTTAAAAAATTTCTAAAGTTCCTATACCAAACATGCAATTCATTTTTCTTCAGGAAAGAAAAAAAAAAAAAGGCAAAACATGTTAACAGATTTTGAGTCACTAAATTTGTTTCTTTTGTTTTGGCCCGTTAAAGAGAGTAAGGATATAGGCACTATGCCCACAGCTATGAAGGAGTGTCACCAAACCCAAACTCCAGACAGATGGCCTGGGGAAAGTACCTAAGATAAAGAATACACTATCTGGCTTGGAATTAATCCCTTATTTTTTAATATTTTCAATTTGTTTTTTTTTTTTTAGTAGTAGATGAACAAAATACCTTTATTTTATTTGTTTACTTTTTATTCGTTGCTGAGGATCGAACCCAGGGCCTCACCTGTGCTAGGCGAGCGCTCTGCCACTAAGCTACAGCCTTTATTTCAAGAATACATTGGCACTTTGCTTGACCTCTCACTGCATCCGTGGCAGGGTGACCTTGACCCTTCCTGTTTTATTATAATCTTCCTATGGCAGAGACCAGGTCTTATCATCATATTTATAACCTAAATTTCCTTAACTTTTAATTTGGGGGAGGACTTTTCATCATTGAGATTGTCTTAAAACAAGGGAACTCCAAATATAAAAAAAAATAAGATTCCAGTGCTAAGCCAGATAATCCAATTCATAGCATATTCAACACAAAAGTTAAGCATGAAGTCAAGGTTTCTCTGTTGCTGGTAAAGATAGTGAGATCCAACCATAAGGCATGTTATGATGTATCTTAAGTTATAATTATTAATAATATCAGTTTTCATTCCCCTGAGGTATTTTAAAACCTATTAAAATAAATGTAATCATTACCCTTCTCTGACTTGAAAACAGACCTCTGAAGCCGCAGGAGAAAGGATGGAATGTATTTATTTCAAAGTTAAATTTGAAGCAAAAATCACAAGACAACAGATTGCAAATTTAAAATTAGATTCTAGTGGGAGGTCTTGGTTTCAAGCCTGTTTTTTTCCCTACTGGATGTTGCGCTTGAAGCAGAGGGGGAAAGAGCTAAGATTAAACTGAGACTAAGTTCTGAAAGTTTTTGCTAAATCGTTACAACCCATGAATAGAGTTTTGCCAAGTCACACACAAATACCTCTAACCCAAGAGACTAAACAAGAAAGTTTTGCAACAAATAAAAGATGATCTTTGATTTAGAAAAGATTATTATTTTGACTGCTTATTTGTGCTTTTTAAAGATTATCCAAAGCAGAAACAAAATATATCCTTGTTCTGAGGCTGGATTTTGAAGCTAGGTTTGCCTTTTTCAAACATAATCCAATATAAAGATGGTGAAACTCAGGGATAAAAGATCCCGAGGGCAATTCACAGGGGAATAAAAGATCTCATAGGTACCTGCTTGGTCTTTTCCTTTTGTTTTGTTTTAAGTCTAATGCTTTTGCTTTGTTGGATGGGTGTAACCCTAATCCAAGGAAGGGATTCCAAATTCTTTTTCCCATGAGCTACATACAACACAGCAATTTCGACTGTGATAAAAATGCAACTATCCCACTGCCTTTGAAGCAGTTCTACTTGGTGCAGGCACACAGAGGCTCAAATCCACACAGGCAAACTTACCTTAAAAGGCAACAGTGGTCCCCAGCCCAACTTGCCCCAAGAGCACTGTGGCATTTAGATACTGATGTTGGAAATGATGTCGGCGGTTGGGGTTGGGGCTGGGGCTGGGGCTGGGGAAGGTGTCAGCACCTGCCCTCCTGCTCCGTGGCCATCAGGATCTCATCTGAGTCTGGGAGAATGTGCCAAAAACCTGGAGAGGACAGGGTCAGAGGGGACAGAAAAACAGAAGGGAATGGTCAGCCAGAAAAAAAGGAAATGGGCATCTCCCATCAAGATCATCTGCATTAATTATCCCACATCAACCTGGGGTGCAATGGAACACAAAGTTGCCCCCAAAGCCCAAAATCAGAGGATGCAACATTTAGCTACAGGTATAAAGTGACAGGCTTAGTCAGACAGATGAACAAAGGCCAGCATCCCCACATTGGTGGTCGTAACTAGCCCTGCACACTAAGTCATTTGGTCACTTTAGTCTGTTTCTGTAAGACGATGACATCAGATCACAGAAACAGGTTGCTGTCGGGTGATTTCGATTACCCTCTCTTACTTTTCAAAGAATCTCAAGAGAGAAATGGAAGGCAACAAAGGAACCTCAGTTATTCTCAAACTACAGCTGCGTTTAGATGGAAGTTGAAGAAAACACTAAAAGACAGGGGAAAAAAAAGAGAGACCAACTTAAATCCATAGCCCTCCTCGTCATATGCATGTTTTCTTAAGATGAAAACATCACATTCATAGAAAACTCATATGAAGAATATGCACAGAGAAAAATTCCAATTGTTATTTAACAGCAAAAGTAAATTGAAAAGGAGGGCTCCGAGAAAAAAGCAGGGTTAATGGTCCTTTTGATTCTTTTCTCTTTTTTCTCCTGTTGTTTTTAAACAGTTTGCCTTTTGAGGTGAAATTGGAAATGCAAAGGCAGGCAAAAAGGCCTGGAGGGTCTCTGTGAATGGCTTCGTTTCATTACTTTCCAACTGGACATTCCCCTGTGGACTGCCTGCCGCTGCCACCCACTTGCTGGTGGTTTCAGCAAGGTAGGAACAAGGAGAGAATTGCCCACTTGTAGAAAAGAAGCAGAGAGAGGCAATAAGTAAATAAATTATACATCCACACGGAACAGAACAAGAAGTGAAGTTTCGCGCCTTCCTCATCTTGGAAAATGTGCTATTGAACCATGAAGCTAGTGACTCACGCTTGCAGGGGAAGGAACAGGAGTTCTAGCAATACCCCATCATTACCCCCACAAAACTTGCCCTTTCATGAGTCCCCCCATTGCTACCCTGTTCATTCCCTTTTCCTGGGCATCCTCTGTGAACGGCTGTCTGCAAATTTCCAAATTTTCAAAGCAGTCCCTGAATTGCTTAGAACTGGCAGAAATTAATAAGCAACAACCCATTTATATTGAAATGGACTCATTACGGTGCCAGCTGCCAATAATTTGCAAGGCTGGGTTCTTGCTGGCAAAGGGGCCTGCGGGTGGCTGTCCTTCCACCTGCACCACAGAGGCTGATGGTGCAATTTGTACACTATTAGCCAGACTTCATTTTTTTTTCTATCTATACTCTTCAAGTCCTTGAGCAAAAGAACTAAAGGAAGAGGAAAGTTAACATTATGGAGGGTTATTTATGAAACACAAGGGAAAGCAACACTGAATCAATGGGCATCTATTATTATTATTATTATTATTTTGGTAGAAACAAATTTTACCCATGACCCGGGCTGTGGAACTGATCCATGAGGTGGACAAATAGAGGCCTCCACGTTTATTATTGTACAAGCAGCAGGTAAGCTGCCCCACCAAGTACCCCATGATCAGTTCTTTTCAATGCTAGCTTCTATTTCTGCTGTTATTTAACATTTGTAAGACATGAGGAGTGTCCTAGGGGGTAGGCTAGTGTTATGGAGGCTAACATGACACTTATTTCATTGAAAATGAATCTGTTATAAGTTGAATGAAATCAATAGCCTTCAATTTGTTAGCAAAGAATATGGTGAGTTAATTAACCCAGTTGGAAGATTCTGTGTGTTCAGTTTGCCACAGCACTCCTGCCCCCCCACACACACGCATGAGCCATGCTGATGAGTCCCTCTGTACCACTCACCTGCTTGCCTTACAGTAAAATGACATGCATACTCAATAGACCGAGTTTCCCAAGATCACTATGATTCACTCTCAACTCATACAGTAAGATTCTGGGTCAGGTGTCAAATGACCAGCTTTCACAGGGAAGTGTGTGTTACCGTGCGGGTGGGAAAGGAATAACCAAAACTAATCTCAGCCTTCAAATACCTGCAAGAATAGGGCCCAGAAGCCCCACCGATCCAAACCTATGGCATGATTGACGATGAAACCATGACATGTGTCAGAAACAAGTGCCCATGGCATCGAATCCCTGGCTTTTCCTAAAAAAGTCTGCTAGACCAGAATTTTTCTTTCTTCATCTTCAAAAACACCCATTTTTTTTTTGTCATTTTTAAGTTCTTACAAGTTTCAGAAATCAATTATATAGAGAAAAGTGTATTATACTTGGCCCACAAATACCCAGGTTCAATTACCAGACTTTCTCACTCTCTAAATTATGTGATCTTGGGCTACTAAATGATCCACTCTGAAAACCACTGGGGAAAAAAAGGATGTAGTAGTGTCTGCCTTACTAACACCCACCTGAAAGGATGTTTATAAGAAAGAAATTAAAGAATCTCTTTATGGCACCCTCAGCCATAAAATTCTACATAAGTGTGTTAGTTCTTTTCCTATTTGTCTTTTTTTAGTACCCAAGAAAGTTCCATAATTAGTGAATTAAGGAGAATCAGGTAGTTTCCTTCTACCCGAAACCTAAAAAAGGGAGAGAGGATGTAGAGATCTTGGGTCAAGATTCTTAACATTTATTTTATATGTAATAAGCACCAGAATGATTTGGTTTTTAGTCTTCAAGTTAGCTCCTGAATTGATTGTATGGACAGATGGATGGATGGATCTGGGACACCAGAATATAAATTTTAGAAAGTTAAAAAATTAATCAGTCGTCTTTTTTAACTTCTTTTAACTGTTACTTTCTTTCTGAAAAGACTTGAAGTGACTTCCAAGGATATATAATTTAAAATAAAATAAAGGAAATTACTTCTAGAAAAAAGAGAAAAAAATCACAAAGATAAGTCCAAGACCAAGGACACAAAGGGTGCTGGTGTGCACCTTGTGGAGCCTCACGCCATGTCACTGACAGGAAGCCTGTGACAGCCACCTCCAATGGGGAATGCAATGACCACTGCGAAGTTCACAGTGTCCTCACAAACTCTCAGAAGAAGGACACACGTCCTTGCTATTAGGATCAGACGGGAATTTCCACTGTGGCCCCCTGAGGCCACTGTGATAGAATAAACCATGTTCTGAACTTTGACAGTAGATTGAAAAAAAAAAAAAAATTACAATTCAGGGACAGCAGCTGGGAAGGAGAGGATAAGGCTGGGTGGACAGGCTGCTGCTGCCTCCCAGGAAGCACTGTCTGCCCTCCATCCACAGTGCCAGATCCAGAGGAAGGACTGAGACCAAAAGGTGGGGCTCTCTGGTTCCCTCGAGTAGAGGTGGGTCCAGCTGCCAGATGGCCACAACCCACCTGGGGTGAAGGACAGGTCCACCCAGGGGTGTGCTTTGTCTGGCTTTTGGGAAAGCTGAGACTGCAGCTAAGAGTCAGACATAGAGATGAGGTGTCCACCTTCCCTCCTGACCCCTGGCAGCTCTGGGGCAGGGCCAGGACTCTCGGAAAAATCGATCTCTCAGCACAAATGAATGAGCCATGAAAGGGGCCCCAAACTCCTATTCCATAAAGCATGAATGAACTGATCTGATTGTAGGCCAATTGGTGGGGTTTTGTTGTTTGTTTGTTTTGTTTTTTAAGTTAAGAATAAACAGACACTCCAAGCAGCCAAACAAAATTCCCCAAACTTTCCATATCCATGGATTGCTCTAATTTTCAGCAATAGTACTTCCTAATATACCCAAATGTATCCCAAAGTAACTAAGCAAGAAACATATTCATAGAATCAATACTTTTAAGCAGGCTACAAGTTGGGAGCTATCTACTAAAATCGTTTTAATTTTAGAGCAGTGAATCTTTGGCAATACTCGATCAAGTTCAGCTGGGACAGACATTACCATATTTCTTACGAGTAAAGTCAGTGCATTTCGAAATGAAGTAATGTGTTCTACCCCAGCCCAGGGAGAGCTGCCATTTATGGAAAGCTCACTATCTGGCTCACAGTACGTTAAGTGGCTTTAGGCCAAAACACTCAGATTCTAAGTTTCCCTAAGTTCTGGGTGTTTATCGTCTTGCGACTACTCTTAGACACCTCCAACCGGTGACTGCCAAAGTATTACAAAACCGAATCAGTCACTGCAGAGTTCCCTACTAGTGTCATTCGAGGGAATTTGGAAACCACCAGTCCCAGAGGGCTCTGCTGTACAGCTGGCCATCCAACCCCCCCCCCCCCCAGATACCCCTGCAGCCCGACACTTTAGGCTCCTGGGAGGCCCTGGCCTGCTGAAGTGGACACACCATGAGACTCACATGATTTTTCAGAAACCCATTGCCATTTCTAAAAGCCATGAAGCTACTGGACACTTGAGAATCCCTCCCAACACTCCAGATCACAGCTTTGGGCTCTTGGTTCCTAAATTATCAATTTTGAATTACATCAAAAAAGCACTTCCCATTGTCACTGAGAGAGACTGTGGAGCATTTGATCCCAGAAGAGAATGGAAATAGAGCTGAATGTAGCTCGATTCTAATGCTGACCTCTGTCCTTTACTGCTGTGCCCAAGCTGCAACTTGATTTCCAGGGCGTTCCCAGTGAAAGAACTAGGTTAGCTGGGTGCCCTTAAGGAGAAAGAGGGAGAGGATGCTACTCTCCTAGAGGTGCTTTCATGACTCCTATAAAACATCACAGAATTGAATCCTTAAACTTCTTACCAAAGTTATGTTCTCAAGACATCTCCGTTTAGGAGAGACTTCAATTTAAAATCACTTTGCCCAACAACAAATCTTCTAAAATTGGGCCACCCAGGTGTCTTTCCCTTGGTAGATCTCTCTCTCATCATCCCCCTGCCCCATTGGGGCCCCAGGAGCTTCACCATGTACAGGAAGAAACCATGTTTTCAGGACACACAGCTGGGATGGTGGTGGATGAGGGGTG